CATAAAAGGGAATGTTTTCACACAATGCACAATTAAGCCTGTGGAACTCATTGCCATAGGATATCACAGAAGACAAGGGCTTAGTAGGATTCAAAAAGGATTAGACATTTATATGGGTTTAAATAATATCCAGAGTTATAATAGCAAACATTTTTTTTTTTTAAATCTAATGACTGCCTAGTACGTGTTTTCTTAAATCTTCCTCTCAAGCAACCAGTACTGGTCACTGTTGGTGACAGAATACTGGACTTGGCTTACCATGGACCTTCTCCAATACGGCAATTGCCATGGTTCACCCCTCCTTGCCTGAGTTTTCACAGATTGCTGATTATCAAGCTGATGTTATTGCTCAGGCATTTAAAATACGGGGAACACAGATTAAAAACTTTTCTATGTTGTCCACAGGGGAGACAGACTAATTTCCTAATCTACAAATTTGTGATTTTTTTTTTTTTTTTTTGCAAAAGTAGGTGCAGCAGCTCTGCTCTTTTGTACAGTGCAGGTTTTTTTGTTTTGTTTTTGATTTTTCCTTTCTTTTCTTTGTCTCTCGCTCTGGCAAAATAAAAAGATACATTTAAACCTCATTCAAAGTCACCAAAATGATAGGTAGCTTGGAGGCAGAAAAACATTTTGAAAACCTTTTCCATGGAAGGAACAATAGGAGCAATGACATCCACGTCAAATTTATTCCTGTACAGAATACATGTGCACAAGGCCTATGCACCACTTAAATCCCATTTATGCCTGGATTGACGTAGGCCTTGTGCTGAACTTCTGCACAGGCAAATTCTCCAGATCAGAGCCTGCCTAACCAACTTAATTACCAACCAGGGCAATTACCTGCAAGATTTTCAAATGTTACTAGTCAAAATTCAACAGGCAATACTGTTTCATCTGTGGAAAAATAGCAGATCTCTCAAAAAAGAGTCTACAGTAAGTCAAATAGTCACTGAACACTCACTTCATACCACTCACAGTGAAGTTTGTCTTGATGTTGTGGAGATGGATGTGTTACCCTAGAATTGACATTCTTGCATGTACCCCAGAATTTGACAGTACTGCACTCAGCAATTTTGTATGTTCAGCTACTGGCAGCTGAAAACCAAACATCACATAGCTAGGAAAATCTTACGCCTTGAGAGTGAAGGCCGTGCAGCTACATGCTTGCAGTTTGCTAATCACAATGGGATAATGGAACCAAAAGTTAACAAATGATAAGTAGGGGGAAAGGTAAGTAAATAGCAACTTTGGTTTTAAGTGCCCATAATATATTGTTGTTATGACAAGAAATGTCTTAATACTAATACAAAATAACAACTTGTTTTGCTGAAATTAAAAGAATTGGCGACCCACTAGGGATTACTATGGTGACCTGCTAGGAGTCACTATAGGTTATGTGCTTTGTTTGAGGTTAGCTATAAAAATTAGGCAAAAGAATTTGCTTTGGAGCAGTCCAAAGAAGCTTTCTTTGGGCAAGGATTTGACAGCTAAGTTCCCCAGCAGTCAGACGGAAGGCGGAGCCCCTCAGAAACCTGGCTGCTGATCCCTTTTGAAAAAATAGTTTTAGGTAAAACCACTTTTGCTTGTGCCAACTATTTATCAGATGGATGCGCTGTGCCCCCATTAATTTATTCCTGACACCGCCTGGAGAAAAACAGTAAAGTTACCACTGCTTTGGGTTCCGAAGACCCTGCATATCATGTTATCACAGACTACTAAGAAAGTCTTGTGACTTAGGAACTCTGCCTATAACAGAATCAGTTTAGAAAAAAATCTAAGAAAAACTAATAAGCACATAATCAGTGCTTAGGTCACTTAGGGGCAGTGACCTGGAACACTTGTAGAACAGACAGTTTATTCATGCCTGTAAATAGTGTTCTCAAAACAGAAAATCTGTTTTTCTGGAAAAAACTAGTGGCCCAGTGCCAGAGGAGACAAGTACTGGCAAACAGAACTAGCCATACTTGTCTGCTTTCAGACCACTTCCCCACCAAGATTTGTGGGTCAGGAGCCTGACAGAAGAGACAGAGAGAGAGAGAATGAATAAACAGGAAATGAATACCTGCAAATGCAGGATCCAAAGACTTTTCCTATGAACATGGGAAAAGATACTGTGAGCTGCTTCTGTCAGAACACTGGCTTTGTGATGCAGTTCATAAATTTATACACGGGGAATAGTTGGGTACACAAACTTCTCACCAGTGAGCTGCCTCTATGAGCGTTGGTGTTATGTAGTTCACCCAAAAGTTTATGCAAGAAAAATGGGTTGGCTGTGCATGAGAAAATCTTGTAAAGGTCCTAACTGGATCTGAAGCCTTCATTTGAGTCATTGCAAGTACCTGCTGTTTCACAGACAGAAAGACGTCAATCAAGTCCTATACCGGCGAAATTACTGAACTTCTTAACAAAGACATCATCTTGAGAAAATCTGGAATCTTGGCAACAACAATAAAATACATTTATTTCAATACTTCTGTTCTGAATTCTGTTGTTAACTAGTATTTTTAGAAGCAAAATGGATATTAGCTCAGAGAGAGGTCCCTGATCCATCAACATATCCAGATAAGCCTGAAATGTAGTCAAAATAATTATATTTATCACCCCAGCTAATGTTATATCTTTTCAAAAGGATAATGATATATGTGAATGGAATTCAACAACAGTGACCGTGATGGTGGGGCCAAAATCCTTTTGTGGGTCTCTAGAGCTACTCTAAAATAGATGATAAAAATATCAATCCTTCTTTTCTGCCCTTGAGCAAATGGTAACTGGACCAAAACATTTTACTTGGATATGACTAACATACCATGTATCAACAGCCAAGTTCTTTATTAATGCTAATGAACCTAAAGCTTTGGCCTGAGATGTGGTACAATGCAGGACTGTTTATCTCCCTTACTGTTTATTCTTACTATGGAATCTCTGGTCCAGCAACCATATTACCTGAATAAAAGTTAGGTGTACTGATCTATGAATAGCATTATATGCAGATGACACCTTACTTTTTGTGTTTATCTTTATGGTATTCCCTCCTAAAGTAAAAAGAAAAGGAGTACTTGTGGCACCTTAGAGACTAACCAATTTGTCTGTAACAAATTTGTAGCTCACGAAAGCTTATGCTCAAATGTGTTAGTCTCTAAGGTGCCACAAGTACTCCTTTTCTTTTTGCGGACACAGACTAACACAGCTGCTGCTCTGAAACCTCCTAAAGTACCGAAGCAACTACAACAATTATTTGGAGCTATTTAAATTAAAGGATGCCCCCTTTGCTATTCATTTTAATAAACATTTGCCTAACTGGAATATCTTAAACCTGTCATTTTCTCAGTTAAACACCATTAATATGAACCCATATTAGCTACCTTTAAGTGCTTCTAGTATCTTTTCCAATTCTATTCAACAAAACTCCAGAATCATATATTAAAATATATTTGGACAGGTAACAAATTCAAAGGTAGTTTGGCCTTCCAAATTTAACGCTCTAGTATGCGGCACAGCTGGGTCCCATCAGCTGACTGGCAGAGAAATTGCCCCCCAAAACATTAGATCTCTACGGAGCAACTACAAATCCCAGATATAGTATCTGAATATATTTCCCTTCTTCCATAGTGTAGGTTTATCCACTCTTTACGCACTCAATAATTAACCTATTTACTGACCACACAATGATTATATGGACAATAATTTCCAAAACTATTTAATACCCTCCATTCTCTTTGTCTCCCTTTTGTAAGAATCCACTGTTTCCTCTGGAAATCACATATCTTTGTATAGAAAGTGAGACTTCTTGGATGTCACTAGATTAATCTAGTTGATCAGAATCATCAGCTATGTTCCTTTGATCCATTAAAGACACAGAGGGCCAGATTCCAAACTGTCTTTCTCATGCATTTATTCCAATATTTCCAAACTCTCATGGATTTACAAGACAACAGTGTTTAAATGATCAGATAACCGACTCTGAAGAAACAGTATTTAATATATCTAACAATAGAGAAAGATTATCTAAAACATATTAAATACTTTTGGAAACAATCATTAATATAAAAGATATGCAAACAACAGGGAATTGGATATTAAAATTCCTGCCAATATTCAGCCTAGAGTTTGAGGAAAAGGCTGACATACTTCCAATCATCCGCAGTAGGCTCCTTCATACTAATGTAATGGGATTGTACATTTATACAAATATTTTGGGAAATGTTCAAAATGCAAGCTAATTTGATTTTGGAGTTTTCCTGTACAGTTATGTTCATAGCTAAGCCAGGTGTTGACAGTGAGGTTTCACTAGAAAAAGTGATTCCACCCTCTCCATTTTCTGTATATACGTGTGAGACTATCTATTACTGCCCAATGGAAAAAATCCCCATGTTCCTTCTGTAAGCATTTGGTTCAATAAAATAATGGATTAATTTCCTGCCCTAAATAATAAAAATACACACATTATCTTGCTACATGGGCACCAATTACTGTTTTACTAGTCTATTTGATTCATAGTAAGAATTTATGTTTTATTATTGTTTTGAATATGTATTATACGCCTTTTTTGTATTTATATTTCATATTTCCTTCAGTATGATATTCCTTCAGTAGGATTCCTTCAATATGATATTCCTTCAGTATATTTCATACTTCCTTCAGTATGATTATATACTTTAGCACTTGCCTCTCTTTACTGCCATCGCTATTCCCTCACAAAAATGAGATCCTAATCTGCCACCCAATGTAACTTGATATACTGTTCAAGGATTTTGGTCTGGATTTGGAACTGGTTTTGCATAAAAACTCCATGCTGATGTAACAGGATCCTCTAAGAGAGGATACTAGTATCTATTACAATACATAAATGAAGGGGAAAATGATGATCCATAAAATTGCAATCATAGTTAGTTATTACTCAATACTTAACAGTCAAGAAACAGGTTATGATATAGTCCTGTAATGTAGACACAACAAAAGGCGAAAGGAAAATTATCTGAGAATTGTTCATTGAGTCTTACCTGACCAGTGTCCAGTGGTAGTGCCTGATCTGTCTGTGCACGTCTCACTTACAGGTCTAAAGACAGTCTCCCAGCCACCAGTAGCATAACGCCAATTCTGAGACTCCAGAATGAGTGTTCGTTGTGTTCCATATGCAATCATGAAGCAGTAGACAACATGATGAAGTTGACAGCCATAGCCACAGCCTTTGTTGATATTACACACAAGTTTCTTGGCTTTGCTGCAATCCTTGGGGTTCTGTAAGCAAGGATGAAGAAGTACAGTTGAAGACAAGATATACACAAAGGCATATTTCTCTAAGTTAATAAGTGACAAGTGTCATAAATCACACACACGTCATGCCAGTATAGTACATCCCACATTAAAATGAAGACAAGCACCAGCTGAATGAAAAGTGTTTGTGCATTCTCAGCAGTTAACATGAACAGCAATTACATATACTTCACTACTCCAATGTAAAATAATACACCTTTAAGATATTAAATTATGTTTTCATTTCTAAGGGTGTCAGAATATGATAACATTCAGTCTCAAAGCTCACATCCAAAATAGTTCTGTGTAGGAATGCTCTTTCTTGATTTCCTCTGGCTCTTCTCCAGCTTTGTTAGCACTATTTCAATGAACATGCATGAATTATTTAAAAAGAAAAATTCAGTCTGCCTAGAGAGTCAAACACTTTATTAATAGACTATTTTCCAAACTAGTTTACTACAAACCAAGTATAGAACATACTACATGGTTAAACAAAGTGGTAAAAGTCAACATTTTCACCTGGACTGTATTCTTGATAAACATAAAATCTAGTTATTGAAATAGTCCAGCTCTGCACAAAAACATTATGCACTGAAAGCTTGATAAGATAATTTTAAAACAATTTTCTGTACTTTTAAGACATTATATCCTACATCATCTACATTAAAGGCCATTTATAGTATGTAATAATTTCTGATACAACTACTGAATTTAACTGCCATTAAATAAGGAATGCAAGCATGTTTAAAATTATAGAATATTAAATACTTTTTGGGTTTATAAAATCCGGATAAGATCTTTTTCTGTCAGAGTTTTGTTCTTTGCTGTATCCATTGTTACTTACATATTCCCAGACATCTTTTTTCCATAAATATAATTTTATATGAAATATTTAGTATGAGAAGTTATTTTGGGTTGTTTAACTGCAAGAGGGCAGTAACTCTGTGCATCAATACAACCATATCTTTCCCTCCTTCCTATCCAACAGTCTGTAATGGATTTTTCCCTATCCACACTTGGAAATAGATAAGCCCTTTGCTGAGAGGAAGCTAAATATCACCCTCCCTCCTGAGAACTATTCAGAATTATATGTCTCTACAACTGCAGTCCTCAGACTTCTATTTCTTAAGAGTATTTCAATGTATTTTATTTGGCTTTCCCGCTAATTTTTCCCAAAACAATCCATTCAAATTTGACCTTTTGAAATTTTGGCAGTTTGGCCCAAAATAATTTTAGGAAGGGCAGATTGTTTGAAGCTAACCATTTAAGGGACCTGGTATAGATAACTTATCCTTATGAGGTTGCTTTGTCCAGACAACCCAAGTTTGACAGTTGTTCCAGCAGTTGGGCACAGGCTGAGACTCCATACCTGCTATGTCCTGACCATCTGAAGCATTGCAGGGAGATTGAGCCTGTCCCTGGGTGCCAAAATGGCTTATCTTTTGCTTGCTCTTCACCTACTTCATTGTTTTCTCTGCCTAATGGTTACGTGAAGGAAGAGGAGCATGCCAAAGAGTTAATGAAGCATTTAAAGACTTTGGGAGAGAAGCTCTGTGGTGACCCTTAGATAAGGCTGTACATACCAAGGATTATAAATTCTTAGATATTAAAAGCACATTTTAACTCACATTTTGCGGCTGCCTAATGACTTGATTCATAATTTCAGGAGGCATTAATTTGTACAAATCTCTCTTCTTAGCACAGTAGACGAAAGGGAAATATCTCTTTCTGCCCTAAAATCTTTACATTAAGAATGCTACCACATTCTATTTTTATTGTAAATTTAATGGATTTACATACATTTAAAAATTTCTATTTATAATTGTTTTTGTATATTTTTGTCAATTTACTATCCTTCACATAACATATTAGTTGTTGATTTTATGCTGGTTTCTTCCAAAATCTTTTTTTAAAGCACTCTTAAAATTGGGATGAATGCCTTAAGAGTGTGTATTTCTTTCTGCTCATAAGAATTCTCACAGAGCTTATTCAGAACCAATAGTTTTAAGTTGTCCTTTAAGTATATTAATGTTTATGTTTTCAAAAGAGCATTTTATACTAGCTCTCTGTTAGACCTCAAAGAAATGCAATGTAGTTAAAAAGGATATGATTAACTTAATTTGTTTAATAACTTTTACAACCAGTATGTTAGATATATAGTTACTAATTCCCAAACTGTGATTGAACAAACAGTAGTAAACACATATATGTGCACGACTGTATCACTTTACTGGTGGGTTGAGGGCTCTGTTCATGCACCAGTAAAATAGTGGGCCTGATTCTCTTCTTTCTTACACAGATTTTACACCATTGTAACTCCATTTATTCCAACTGAGTCACTCCAGAATCACTCCCAGTATTTGCTGCTCCTTAGTTTACCAAGTAAAAATAATTTTTCTTCCTTCTGTTTCTGAAAATGAAATCCAGAATTTGAAGGCAGTTATCTCCTTAGAATTTAAGTACATAGGCATGGATCATTACAGTATCAAGGGGGTAAGCTTTAAGTCAACTTACAGCTTGCAAACAGTTTACATTGTAGATTTCAAAGGCAAGGGTGTAACCATTGATATGTTCAAATAATTTAGTAAAATTGCAATCAGAATGTACTGTAGATTGCTACTTCTCTATTGTTTGATCAACCTTCTTTTCATCTCTGTTTCTAAATTTATCCATCCATAAAGTTTTATACTTAAACACATTCATTTTCTCTTCTCACATCACAAATAGAAATATATAAAAACATATACTTACATATACACAAACACACAGATAATTTTTTCTTACACATTAATTTTTCTGTTTTAACTGACGTTATGCTCTTTGGATCAGATTCAGCCCTTGGAAAAATAAGTAGGTACACTCTCACTGAAGTCAATGACAAATATGTACACTTAAGCTTGGGCCGAATATTTGGCACAATGTATACAATTTATATCATCAAAATAACATTACTCAAGACAGTGTGGTTTTCCCTTTAACAAAAAGGGGACTGACTACATAGCTCAAGCTTCAACAACCTAAAAATAATAAAGAATACAATAAGCGACTTTGCTAAAAAAGGATGAAAAGTTTCCACTTATTATTGGGGTTTGCAGCTGTTTATAAACTGCTTGAGTAACTGTATCAACAGAATACGTCAAACAAATTACAGATGTATAACGCTATAACAAATGCTGTCGTTAATGAGTTTTAGTTTATATTTACTTTTTCTCTGAGGTATGCTGAAAAACATCAATCATATGGCATTCTCAGCTCCAGCAAGCTCATGTAACAAATTATTAACTTAAATTATGTAAAAATAGCCAACCAACAAAGCAGGTAGGTTGTCTGCCAGCTGCTATTAAATAGAGTAACAGAAGTTATTAATGTAATTAGTTATAGATTACCGAACAGATTGGTTCTTTCTTGCTCCTTTAATTTTAGTTGGTTCCCTTTTCTTTTTCCTACTTACAGTCGTCTTCTTTTTGTTTATTTTCTGAGAGTTACACTTTCACCCTGCCCCCCACCATTTCCTTCTCTTTCTTTTAAGGTTTACTATATTAATTAATTCAGTGTATTTAGGATAGATGGGAACCATGTATTCCTCTGGTTCTTTAACTTACACCGTTCTTACCCGTTCCTGGTTAATAGATGGCTTGCAGAATGTAGCTAGAGTTAGAGACAGATCTACTTACCTTTTCTTTTCTTTTCTTTTTTTGGGGGGGGGGGGGGGGAGAGAAGGGGAATGAAAATTTCAAAATACAGTAAAATTTCCCTTCCCCCTTGAAAATCCAGTTTTGTAATACAATTAAAGCATAAAAAAGAAATGAGTAAACTCTGCAAAGTGTTAAAAAGTGCTAGCCCTTGTCTGCAAAAGCTCATGTAACAACTGAAATAAGTTTGGAGATAAATTAAAACTTTACCAGGCATCAGAGTATTACTTATGTTACTCTCCTGACAAATGCCCATGTTTTCATAGGAATAGGTAGCATTTTATAACCCATTTGTCTAGTCAGGCTATTCTAAACATAAAACAAAATTCCCAATGTTACTGAATCTTCCATAATACATCACAAATATTTTTACTCTCATTTTATTCCCTTTCCTTGCTGCTGGTGAATGACTGAACTCCCTAATGCACAGGGTAAGTGTACTCTATGTAGAAGCCAGCAGGACATATTTCACAATAATGTTACAAACCACTACATTCTGTTTTGGCAATATAAAGAACAGCCCCAAAGTATTTAGTTTATGGTGTGAGATCAGGTTAGTAGCACAACACTATAGTGGGTGGCAGCTCTATATCCGACCTCAAGTCAAGTTGGACCAAATAAAGTCCAAATAGTGTTTGAGACATAGTTGATTAGAATCAGTCAGAAATATACAGATATAGGGTTCAAGTCACTGTCAGAAGAACCATGTTTATTGGTCCCCAGCTGTGGAAAGTCTATCTGGAAGGGACATGAGTAACACAGTACAATTCACCAGGAACTCCTCTTCTTTTGGGTCTTGTCCAGTGCACTCAAAAAGTCAGTGGGGTCAGTGGGGGAAGCTGTCAAAAGTGCCACTGGCAAACCTCTCAACCGTCTAATGTGTGTGACACAAGCCAGCAAAACGTGACAAGTTATCAGAACGTAGAACATCGGTGCTCTGTAGCACATTATACCATAGGCAACAAATTACACTGCTTTTAATTATAAAACGTGTTTTTAAAGATGTTTTTTCATTGTGTGAATCAAATAAGCTAGCTTTGCCATCTGTAACAGTTTAATTGGTGTGGAGTGAGACGGTTGCCTGTTACAGATGGCAAAACTGGCTTATTTGATTCACACAGTGAGAAAACAGTCTTATAAATAGCTTTTATACTTCTAAAACATAATTTCTTGCTTATGGCTTGATGTACAACAAAACACAAGTGCTCCACATTTAGGACCAGGTCCTCGACCAGGCTGCTAGGAAGCTTGAAGGAGGTAGTCCTTACCCACGCTTCTCACAGAGTGCCAGAAGGAGGGGAGTTCTCAACCCAGGCTGCCCCTAATTTAATTCACACAGCCCTCCCCCCACCCCCTACAATACATGTCATGCACACTATACAATCTGTGCCAGGTCCTTGCTTCCCACACAAAATTAATGCTAATGCCCCGCACGCCACCCACTTACCCACAGTCAATACAGGCCAGCTCTTCCCCCATCCCCCAGTTAATGATGGTCACTTTCCCCTTTAATGCAGGACCCGGTCTTCTAAATGTATTGCTGACCTGTTCCTGCTCCATTCTTCCCATTCCACTCTGGTGAATAAATCGTCAGCCCAAGAGCTCCCTTCCACCTCACCCCTCCTCTATCTGAAAACTTTCAGCTCCTCCTGGCGAGCCCTCCTTCCCACACAGGCTTCTCTTTGCTCCTTGGAAGGAAGGTTAGGGAGGAAAAGGAGCTCAGAGCTACTACTCCTCCAGCCAGCAGACTCAGTCTTGCGGACCACCTGAGTATGTATGTGGTGCAGTAGAACAGGGAGCCTGATCTTGCTCCAGTGTAGTATAGCTGAGTGCTCTGGCAGTCACCTACCCTCCTCTAGGAAGGGATTTCACCTTGAGCACAATCACCTCATGAATGCAGAGGGGCTGCAAACTATTTCCCTCGGTCTACAATCCCCTAATGGTAAACTAGTCCTGACTTACCGTTGGAGACTTCCCATGTAGGTATCAGCTGGGTTCATCTTAAAGGAGGTTTTTACCCTTATAGATTAGACATTTAGATAGTGAACTACAAAAGAACTGATGGAGCAGAACCAACACTTGATTTAATATTGTAGTAGACATTCTCTAAGCTTATTCAATTTTCATATGTTCACTACATTTTCCCTTGTAAAAATATAAGTATAGAAACTTATGTCATCTAATTCCAGTCTCCCTCAAAAACATCATTTAAAAACATGCTTTCCAGCTGCTATTTTCTCTTTTGCTCATTTGTTTTATTTTTAGGTAGCCTTTTTATTTTGCCTAAAAGACTGTCTTTTCAACATGCTGAGCCCCATTCCCATGCCTAAATTTCTTTTAAGGTGTTTTTGGAGAAGGTGTCTATTCACTAATCCAATATTATGAAATTAATTCAACAATGGTTGAGGAGCACATTAAACATACATTGTAAAATACTAAAAGAAGGGATATGGTAAAAGATATTAAGAGAATAAGAAAATGCCAGGTTACATGTATAGTCACAAAAATTTGAATTCACTAAATATAAAGATTTCCAGACACTATTATATGATTATTGAAATCTATAGTAGTGAAACAGAACAAAGAAATCCATAGTGAATTACATGTAGTCTTGACAGTCCATTTAAAGGAAGTATATACATAAAATCCCTGATTGAATTTCTGAATGATATTGTGGATAAGGCAGAAATCTCCTGAGGACTTCTCTCCTGGTAATTTGCTGACTCTGTTGAGGCTTTAATACCAGAAGGAATAAAGTAGATCAGGCATGGAAAATTTTCTTATCAACTTTCAAAAATGGCAAACAAACAGCATGGTCATTGTGTCTGTGTTTTGTAAAGAGGCGTGTTTACGATCATGCTTTCTAACTGTTTCTGCCTGAGGAACTATGAAAGAATGAAGACAGCTCATCATTCCATGTGGATGGTTATACATGACAAACATTAAAGAGACACTGTCAACCTAAATTTGGCCTATTAAATTTTATAATAGTATTTTATAAAAAGGTAAGACTGATAGAAATGTTTCACAATTTTAACATTCCAATCAAAAACAATTGTTTTAAAACAAACATTTCATTGTATTGTCTGAATCACCACAGCACTAAGAACTTGAAAGTGAAATAGACTATAAAAAAAAAGTAAAGCTGACTTCATTGATATTTTTCCCGAAACTGAGATAAATATATATAAAGTAAACAAAGAGCAAATATATTGGATTTTAAAAATTCTTTCACTTGGAATATTGTGCAGTATTATGAGTAATATAAGAATTCTTTTTTAAACAACATATTATTTTTAAGTTAACAATGTCACTAAGACATTTTAATAATCACCTGGAGTTTCATTTGCTGCAAATCTAAATCAATAAGGGAGAAACAGTAGATCCCACGGTGTTATCTCCAGTTCTTTTGTATATATTCACCAGATCTAAAATATTATCCCTACCATAAATTAGTTTTAGCTACTAAAAATCAGAGGCAGAGCAGCTGAAACATTTTTCTGCTACTTTATAACAGTTATACAAAAATTATGTTAGATAATGGCAATACATGTAAACCAGCCAAAATTTCTTCCTGCCCAGTCTTGTTTCCTTTCACGTTATAAAACAAAGTAGTGATTAAGTTTTCACAATATCATTATGTAAAACTCTTAAGGGACATAAAAGCAAAGATTAGTAGTTTGTATTTGATGGAGTGGAGCAGGGGGAACCAGAGGAGGGAACCAAAGAAAGGGGTGATGTGGTCAAAGAGATAAGCCAGAAACATGATCTTTATAGCATAGTTTTGAATGGACATAAGTGAAGCAAAATGCATTTGTCATAGTGAGACAAATGTCAAGATGTGAGATGGTGAGGGTCTGGACAAACGGCTTAGCTTTGGAGAGGAAAGGCCAGATCTTAAAGATGCTATGCAGAGAGAAGAGAAGCAGCAGGATTTAGGCACAGCTTTGATGTTAAGATCTAGAGAGAATCATGTTGAAGGTAACATCCAAGCTATGGGCTTAAGTGACGGAAAAGATGATGGTGTTGCCTATAATGGGGAATGCCTAAGAATGCCTAAGAAAAGGGGAAGATGGAAGGACGGGGGGAGAAAAAGAGTTCTGTTCTAGTCACATTGAGAATAAGCTGATGGTTGGACATCCACAAGGAGATGTCGGAAAGACAAGCTGTGATTTTAGTTTGGAAAGAAGACGACAGGTCAGGAGTGCAGATGTAGATCTGTGAGCCATCAGCATATGTGTGGTATTTATTGACATACAGAATGAGATATATCAGGTATGTTAGACACAAATAGCTAACATATTCTCTGCTTAAAGTACTTACAACATACCTAGTATGAGTGTCCAATTAGTTTTTTCAAGGATAGTAAGAAGAAAGTTTCTTCAGAGTACAACAATAATGGGGGAAAGAGCAATTATTACAGAAATATTAGAGAAATATAGGAGTACAATTTGATATATTAAAAATACTAGAGATTTCTATAAATTCTATAGGATGTACAGGGGCTTTAAAATAAAACACTGAAAATTAAGGGATTGAGGAACTCAGGAAGAACTAGAATAGGTGGTAAAAGGTGTTAGAGTCAGAGAAAGGGGACCTAGAACATGATCGGATCAGAATTTAAAGATAATATCTTTATGGGAGAAATTTTAATGAACATGTCGAAATTAAATAAGCTTAGATAAAAGCTATTACAATTTTAAGTGAGAATGATGGTTCTGCACACCAGCTGTTTATGGTTCAGTGAGTGACACTGTAATTGATAATGGATAATTACATTATTTATGTAAAGTATCTTCTCTCTCACTTCAGAGACACTACTGATGAATTGAGGAACGTGTCTATAGGAGAACTCCCAAAAGATATAGCCACTTCTTGTAATATACCAAAACACAAGCTATTGTTAGCTTTTGCAGACTTATAGAGTCTGAATGAAAAGGCAAAGTTATAGTCTACTGGCAATCATGGATCCAGCACAAAAAAATACCCACCCCCAAAATATATGTCAGAAGATTATATTATTGCACAATTACAATTAAACCAACAGTTAAACACTTTTCTGTTATTGTCCCTTTGTGTGTGAAAATACTGGCTCACTTTACACATAAATACAAAGGATTTATTACATATCTACAACATAAATCCTCTCATATTGCTATCTACAGAATTTGCACCTATACATTCACTTAAATTACTTGAATGTTTTTACTACATTGGCATATTTTAGTGGGTTAAAATATTTTTTCAACAAATCCCATTTTTAATTTTTCCTCTTAATTTAAGCACTTTTATTCTACCTTCTTACCTGAAGATATGTTATTCTCCTCTGTACCAGCTCTGTCAGATCTTTGGCTTCCTTTTCTCGCCAATCACCTGCTCCATCTGTTTGACTGAGGTAGTACAGATCTGTCATTATCGACCTATAAAAGGCAAGCAACATTAGATAGCTACCTTAATACTAAATTAGAGGGCTAGGCAAAGCCACAGAGAGAAATTAAATAGGCCTTCTGATTACACTGATCTGCTTAAACGTTTTTAGTGGACAGAATACGTAATTAAACTAAGAGGGGACAGGTACATATGCACTGCAAAACAGTAAATTAATTTGACTGTTGGTATGCCACAGCATCAGTGCAGATTACCTCTCTCTGCATGTATCTCCCAACACAAACACCAACCCAAGATGGGTGTGTACACATTATCTGAGTCTGTGTCCTCCATTTACCATATTTCTCTTATCCATACGTAACTGCAGTATTAAATGGCTGTGGGGTAGAAAAACTCTTAAGCCCACTAATCAAAATTTTTCACTGAAGAAAAGCCCCAAAGGCATTAGTTCCAGGATAGATCTGAAATTCATTGGCCCAGGAAAAGACACAATCAAAGGGTGGCTTCTCTGACAATGTGATGTTGCTATGCCATCAGAGATCAGCTTACTGTCTTTATATAAATGTAACATTGTAACTGTCATGGTTCAGAGATTCTACTGTGTTCCCATAGTCCTTATTAGTACACCTGCAAACCAACTGTAGAATATTATTAAAAATTTGGGATAAAGAAGCATCTCTTTGTCTATAATTAAAAAATAATATTATGGAAAATATAAGTAACAGCATAGGAAGAGTGACATGAGATGTGAGCATGATGTAAATCTGGATTTAAGTCACAATAGAATCATAGAATATCAGGGTTGGAAGGGACCTCAGGAGGTCATCTAGTCCAACCCCCTGCTCAAAAGCAGGACCAATCCCCAATCAAATCATCCCAGCCAGGGCTTTGTCAAGCCTGACCTTAAAAACTTCTAAGAAAGGAGATTCCACCACCTCCCTAGGCAACGCATTCCAGTGTTTCACCACCCTCCTAGTGAAAAAGTTTTTCCTAATATCCAACCTAAACCTCCCCCTCTGCAACTTGAGACCATTACTCCTTGTCCTGTCTTCTTCTACCACTGAGAATAGTCTAGAACCATCCTCTCTGGAACCACCTCTCAGGTAGTTGAAAGCAGCTATCAAATCCCCCCTCATTCTTCTCTTCTGCAGACTAAACAATCCCAGTTCCCTCAGCCTCTCCTCATAAGTCATGTGTTCCAGACCCCTAATCATTTTTGTTGCCCTTCGCTGGACTCTTTCCAATTTATCCACATCCTTCTTGTAGTGTGGGGCCCAAAACTGGACACAGTACTCCAGATGAGGCCTCACCAATGTCGAATAGAGGGGGACGATCACGAGGGGATAGTTCAGAAAAAGCTTTCATATCAATGCACATGGGCATACTTTTGTATCTCTCTGTATGAAGCAGTTATATTTAAAATGTATACGCATTAAGTACAAAAAAAATCTACATTAGTATCACAAATTTAGACTACAGAATATGGAGATCATTTTTTAGGATCTGTCAGATACTAAATGATGACTTCTGTATTAGTATCTAGTTGATAGTCATAACTGAAGGTCCAGGGAAGGGTGGTAAGAAAATTCTGGCCAGCAGAAGAGAGCAGGAAGATGGCAATATACTGGGGATGCGATCAGGTATCCTGACCAACAGGAGGGAATTTGGGTAGAACAGCAGCACATCAAAGACAGCCACAACCACATACCACAGGCCTTTTATGGTATCCAAACATTTTTGAGGGGAGGGGCTTGGAGAGAGGAAGCAATCAGAGGTAGACAACAAGTGGAAGGGGGCTCTCTTGGCAAAATCCAGTATTCATAGTAGGGTGGGGTTTAGATTCCTATTCACTCAATACCCAAATTATGCAAAGAAGAGTCAGTAAATGAAAAATATTATGTTACTCATAATGACATTACCTTGTCTACTCTGCAAATACAAAAATAATTTTACATTTAATAACCTAACTAATAATCCAACATTACAGGCAGAGAAAGGAGCAATGCCTACAGTTACCGCTGCTTAAAACTTCTGATTATAGTACCCAAGTTGCTTGTAACATTGACAAACTTTAACCATTTGGGATGATACCCTGTTTATTTGGACTTGAGGGGTTGTGATTTACCAGCCGAGAGTCTTGATGAACCACACATAGGAATACTGGAGCAGAGGGAGGAAACATAACAGGGGTGGGGGGATGGAGGGAGCCAATGGGGATACAAAAAGGGTGAGGGCCAGGGAACATGCTTATTCTCCTAGGATCCCCTGGTAATGCCCTCTCAGGGTAAGGGTGGTATAAGAGACTCTACCTTGCAGTACTCTATGGCACTGGAGCTCCTTGGCTGAGGCTACTCCTTATAAGCAGGCTTGTTGACAAAGTGGGGAGCAGGCTCAGCATGTAAGTCCACACTGGCACCATGTACCCTCCTGCTGATTGCCTTCTATGACGAGATAACTGGCTCTGTGGATATGGGGAAAGCGGAGGACGTGATGTATCTTGACTTTAGCAAGCTTTTGATACGGTCTCCCACAGTATTCTTGCCAGCAAGTTAAAGTAGTATGGTTTGGATGAATGAATGGACTATACGGTGGACAAAGTTGGCTAGATCATCAGGCTCAATGGGTAGTGATCAACAACTCGATGTCTAGTTGGCAGCTGGTAGCAAGTGGAGTGCCCCAGGGGTCTGTCCTGGGACCAGTTTTGTTCAACAACTTCATTAATGATCTGGATAATGGGATGGATTGCACCCTCAGCAAGTTCGCGGATGACGCTAAGCTGGGGGGAGAGGTAGATATGCTGGAGAGTACGGATAGAGTGCAGAGGGACCTAGACAAATTGGAGGATTGGGCCAAAAAAAATCTGATGAGGTTCAACAAGGACAAGTGCAGAGACCTGTACTTAGGAGGGAAGAATCCCATGCACTGCTACAGGCTGCGGACCGACTGGCTATGAGGCAGTTCTGTTTCAAGAGAGACTTATGCCTCAGAGGACCATGAGACAATAATAAAGAAGAATAAGCCACTTCGAAGAAGGAGGAGATAAGGAAGAGCCCCCCCTCCCCATGAAGGAATTAACCATAATTTGTGGGTGTAAGGCATCTAGAAATAGATTCAAAACAGGACTCAGATCTGACTAAAATGCTTTCACTAAGGCCCTGTGAATTTTTTTTTTTAAAATTCATGGCAGAATCACAGGTAAAGTATTGAAATTCGCAGATTATGCATGGAATGCAGTCAGCAAAAGGTTACTGGTGCATTTCTTTGCATACAAGTGACTGCAGACATCCCCTGAACTGCTCCGACATGCAGCTGCTGTGCGCTATGAGATGCACTGAGCATGAGACTGGCTCAGGAGAATGCCCAGTTCTGCTTTCCTGGTGAGGCTGCAGCTGCTCATGTTCCAAGCAGTGATGGCTACTGTACCGCCTTCTCCCGCTTTAATGCACCACCACAAACTCAATGTAATATGATGGATGGACGGAACACAACAAAATTACATGACCCTGCTCTCTTCTTCATTTCATTTTAATGTCTAGAATACTGGAAAAATCACAGTGCAGAGCTAATTTCATGATTTCTGCTCAGTGCATGAAATTACAATTTTCACAGGGCTGTTATCCAAGGAATCAAATCATGAACATCCTTTTCTACTACAGCTGATATATACAGAATTTAAGCAGCCTTGAGCCAGCCTGACTTGACTTCAACGACATCTTTGATGTCACCCCACTCTCCAGTCCATTATGTGGAGTGTTTCTTCTGACCCAAGTTAGACCACAATGAATATTTACAGCAATAGACCTTTCTTTTTTGCTTTGGCTGATCAGAGCCAATTGGACTGACAGAGATTTTACTGAGCTTTGTATTCAGCAAAGCTTTGGACTCAAGGGTGTGCATATTCAAGGTCTTTAAATGCTTCACAGCTGAAACCTTTGTTGTGGATTGACTGGACTGTAAAAACTGTCATACTGGACCACACCATAGGTTCATATAGTCTAGTTCAGAGGTGGGCAAACTACAGCCTGCGGGCCACGGAACCCTCCTGTCTGGCCCCTGAGCTCCTGGCCCAGGAGGCTAGCCCTCGGCCCCTCCCCTGCTGTTCCCCCTCCCGCGCAGCCTCAGTTCACTGCGCCACCGGCGCAGTGCCCTGGGCGATGGGGCTGTGAGCTCCTGAGGCAGCGCAGCTGCAGAGCCTGACCTGACCAGGTGCTCTGTGCTGCATGGTGGCGTGGCTGGCTCCAGCCGGGAGGTGCGGCTGTAGCGCTGCCAGCCACGGGTGCTCTAGGCAGCTCAGTAAGGGGGCAGGGAGGGCTGGATAGAGGGCAGGAGAGTTCGGGGGGCCCTTGGCCCGTGCCGCTTCCCGCAGCCCCCATGGGCCTGGAGCAGTGAACTTCAGCCAATGGGAGCCGCGATTGGTCAAACCTGCAGATGTGGCAGGTAAACAAAGCGGTCCAGTGCGCCAGGGGCTTTCCCTGAACAAGCGGTGGACCAGCTTTGAGAACCACTGAGATAGAAGACACAAAAGACACTCATCAAATCCAAGGAGAATGCTTGCTCTCTATTTCTTGAGAACATCCAGGTATCTATTGACAGGTGTTCGTGCACTGACAAAATAATACATTTGCAGAAGCAACACAAGCTCACAGCAATATGTCGTCCATTGCCACAGAATCTACCCTTCAACACATAGTTTATTTTACAGAATCTAAGCTTTCATTTTAAGCTTTTCATTTAAAAAAAGAATTACATGTCCAACTCTGATGGTTGTGAAGAAAACATGAAGAGTGACAACCAATGCAGTACAGTCTTGAATCAGCAGAAAGCCTGAAACAAACAATGTCTCAGTGGGATAAGTCAAAAAATAAGAATGTGGGGACAATGTAAAGTAATCTTGATGAATATAAAGAAGTAACATGGTAAGGGGAGTCCCACTTCTATGATTCGCAAAAAGAAAAGGAGTACTTGTGGCACCTTAGAGAGACTAACAAATTTATTTGAGCTTAAGCTTTTGTGAGCTACAGCTCACTTCATC